ACTAGAACATAAAAAGCACAAAATCGCATTCTGTAGTTTAGCAGTCGAGTCTTATCTTGCAGATATATCACTGCCATTTTTATTTGAATTCAAATTATTGTTTTAAAAATATTATTACTTATATTGAGATAAAAATTGTAAAATAAATCTATCTAATGTTAAGTTTTAAACAGTGTTTTCAGTACTCTTCTTATGGTGTTGTGAATATATTTGCTCTTCTGTGTAATATTATTAAATGGCTAAGTTTAAATATAAGTCTATTTTTACCTTATAGTATCTTATGTTTTGGTGGCTAAATTTGCATTTTTGGTTACATTAAATCCATATAATCGAGTCTCCCCATATTATTTAGTTTGACGAAAATATTAACCTTTGCTGGACAAGAGGGCAATGTAGTATAAGGCGTACCAGCATTTTTATCAAAGCTTTTTCGATATTATTGAAGCCCTGGGGCATATTGTGTGCTCAACCAAACCAGATGCTTATGTCCATAATCAATGGAGTGCGCAATGTAAACGAGACACTATGGTTCTGCTGAATTCAATCATTTCATCTGCTTTCATCATAACATTGATAACAGCATATCATTATCCATCTCATTTAGAAAGAATTAAACTTCAGGGACAACCTGTTGATATTGTGGAAGCCTATAACATGGTATAAGAAAAAATTGAGTTTTATATTTTTGAGCGTGAAAATATAAAAAAGAGTTTTGAAAGTCTATTTGATTATGATGCGCAAATGTGTAAAAGATTCGATACAGAGCTTAAACTGCCACACATCGTTCGAAAGTAAATCTATCGATATAATGCTCATTGTGATTCTGTGCTTAATTATTATAAAACTATTTTAGCAATCTCTTTACTTGGCCATCTCATTTTCCATTTAAAATTTCAGTTTTCAAGTTTAGAAAAGACTGCAATTTCCCTGTTTTGCATACAACCATCAGTTTGTGCTGATCTTGTAAATGAGTTGAAAGTGATATATAAAGATGATTTACCCTCTCCGGAAATTCTAAACGAAGAGACGAAATGTTAGTGATTCCGAAAGCAAAAGCTCCCAAACACACCAGTTTTGGCTTTAAAAGAACTTTTTACCAAATATTTAATAATTTACAAATAAAAACATCTTACCAAATATTGATGTGCTTTTTCACATAGCAGCTACACTGCTGATAATATCTTGCGAATATGATCATTCTGCAAGTGCTTTAAAAAGGTTAAGAAAATTATAATTGAGCTACTAGGACAGAAGAGTGCAGATATTGTTTGGCATTAATGAACATTAATAATACCAAAGAAATATCAGTTGACAAAGTTATTGATATATTTACCAGTTTACAGCCACAGAAAATGGAATTCGGGATATTTTAAATGCCGAAACAAAATGAAAGGCCAGAAAAAATGTTTGCCTTTTTTTTTTTTTTTTTTTTTTATTTAAAATTTTTATTTCCAATTTTACTTCATGTCCAAAATATATGACTTATTTACAACTTTTATGTATTTAATTTAATATCTGTATTACATACAACAGACATGGATTTTATATATTTATTTATCTTTACAGTTGTATGATGAAACCAAAGTCAGATGAATTTCAGAATTCTTTTAATATTTTAATAATTTTTAATTAGTTAAAAAACAAAAATATCGAGTTAAGTATTTAATGTTTGGAATATAATAATTATAAATACGATAATTAAATGCAATATATCCATAATTATGTTGCATAATTTTATTATTAATAAAATTCGTAACATAATTATTATTTATATTAAGGTAACTGCCTTTAACATAATACATTTGTCACGTAATAATTCGTGTATACTTGAAGATGCTGTAATAGGTAGAACAGTATAGCCATAGGAGTCATAAAGGGCACCTCCCCGTAATTTGAGCTGGCTACGCCCATGATTGGCATATAACAAACTCATAACATTATTTGCGTAGATTAATAAAACAATTTCTGGTTTAGACAAAAACTGTTTGATAACATTAATAATGTGTTTTTGGCTTTTGAAAAAATACTAATTGTGTGAAAATTCTTTCAGCATACCTTATATGTAATGAAATTATATACAAAAGGATGTTAATTTGTAGTAAATCAGAAAAAAAATATCGCTTAATGATATTAAAGGAGAAAAAATCAGCTTTGAATTATTCTATTTTATTTTTTAACAAGCCCGCAAGCAAGCTAGAAAAGGTGGGAAAAATCTTTAATTTTGAAATTTAATATTTTGGTCAATTTTTGTTGAATAACTATCAAACGTTTTATGTTTTATTTTTTATAATATGTAGAAATTTAACTAATATAGCTGCAAAAACTTGGGGTACATATAAAAGCTGGCTTTTGTAAGTTTTAGTCATTTTTTGAAAAATTCAAAAGATGAGGATTTTTCATGTTTGATTCAATGAGGATTTTTATGGACATATTATATAATAAAAACATAAACACTATTCCAGTATTGAGATTTGACCATTTTGTACTTAACTTGAGAACATACATGTAAGCTGTATTCTTAATTTTTATATGCAATTTATTCTTTGAATCTGAATTTTTATGTGTAATTTATTCTTTGAATCTGTATTTTTGACATATAATTTATTCTTTGATTTCATAATGTCAATATTGGTTTCAAATATTACCCATCGTTAAAATAGTTAATAGATAACTGCAACAATGTTTTCTTTAAGTGTACTTGCTACTGATGCCTTCTATGATTTCTGTGAAGTTGATAGTTTCTTTGAAGGCTAATAGTGTAGTGGTCTGAAAGTCAAATTGCATGTGTGCAGCATGGATGATCTGAAAATAACTGACAGGCTAGAATTTTTGTTGTTTCCCTTTTTTCCTTCCTTTTTTCATTTTTTGCCATTGTGGAAGAAAGTTTTATTGACAAAATAAAAAGTACTTTAAATAAATTTTAAATTTTGCTCTTTGCATTGATGAAACCATAACAAACAACAACAATATAAATGAAAAAAATCTCACACTTATTTTTATTTCATATCTGAAGTCTAAAGTTTAGTATCTGCAAAATACTTTTGCTGATTACATTTTGTAATTTAAGTATATTAAGTATTATACATAGACTGACATTTCTTTCAAATAATTCTAGCATATTTAATAAATCATTAAATAATTTAATTTAAACTGAAAATAATAAAAAAAATATGAAAACTTTTAAGTTTTCTGAGAAAATTTTGGCAGAAAATAGATGGCATTTATTTGTGGCAAATGTTTCACAGATGCTGATGTTTCTTTTATAATCATATTATTTAGTGACAGCTATCTAAATGCATTTCGAGTTAATGCAAGATTAAAAAAAATTATTTAAATTAATTTCTTTGCATGGTTAATAGTCAAAATTGAAAATGAAAGTTAAATTTTTTTCATGTTATGAGTTTAAAAAAGGAGCAAGTGTTGGAACTTCAACAAAAAATATTCACATTTATTTGGATCATGCTTCTACTTAAAATAGTTAAAAAGTGTTTTATTAGGTTTCAAAAGGGTGACTTTAGTTATAAGTGATAAACTTCACTCTGGGCAAACTTCTGGCATTGATAATGAATTTATCCATGATTTGGTGAATTATAATTCATGGATTACAGCTGAAGAGATAGCTGAGAGAATAAATGGGTACAATTCGAGTGCATTTTACCCTATAAAGCCACCTGGATGCACTTTAAATGCATTACGCATTCACTATGGTAAAGTTAGACAATGTGTTTACTCAACAAGCACTGCATCAAGAAATCCTCCATCACCCATCATATTCCCCTGGCCTTGCCTGTTCGGATTTTCATGCGTTTTTTCTCTGTAAAATAATTTGATTGGTAAAAAATTGATTCTGTGGAAGAAGCAAAAACTGAACCTTTTAACTTCATTTAAAGAAAAACCATGCAGTTTCTGCAAAGGAGGGATTCAAAAAAATTGTAAAACATTTGGAAAGAGTTATAGAAAGTAGTAGAAAGCACATTATTAATTAATAAATACTATTTCATGGAAATGAATGTAATTTGATTTCGAATTAGGTGTAGACTTTTGCTATCACCCAATATTTTAATTTTGTGATGTTATTTTAATCTTATTTATAAGTAAAAAAGTATTTCTTGTAACATAGGTTTATATACTACAATTTTTACATATCTCTTGGTAATAGGTAAATAATGCAGTATCACATTTTATTTTAAATTAAGTTGAAAATTAAAGCAGTTTAATACGAGATATGTGTTATTTACTATGATGTGACTAGACAGTGTTTTATTTTTAGATTTACTATGCCAAAAAATATGCCAAATAAGGAACTACAATGTGACAGATTTACTAATCCTGATTTTTATTGATGTTAAAAGGACTCTGCTGGCTACTGTTTACTAGTAGTGGTTTTATTTACTAGTACTATTTACTAGTAGTGGTTAGAAGGGTTTTTATCAGTATATTTTGCTATCTGTACATCATTAACGTGTGTACATGTTAACTTTGTTACATTTTATAATCAGGGTTTTTTCCATATATGTAGATTTTGTTGGGATCTTACTAATATAATGCTTAATAGCTATTATGATATTGTACATTGCTACTTTTCTTTGCTATTGGTATTATTTTATTATTAGAATAGCTTCTTTTCTCTTATTATCTTATATATTAATTTCATATGTTGTATAATTCTATATTATGAAGCTTATTTAGATCCTTGAAAAATCAATAATTAACATCTGCCCTGTTTTCAAACTTAATGCAAGTATATTCCGTTTGAATCTTTTGAAATCTATTGACGTGATTATAAAAAAAAAAAAAAAAAAAAAAAATCCAACTTTTTAAAATATTGTTTCCAAAACATTTTTTTGCACTGCTTTTAGAACTCCTGGAATTTTTTTCTAGTAATCTAGTTCACTTTTCGTTACTTCTAAGTAGGCTTATTCACTAAAAATATTATTTGACTGTACTTATTTTATCCCTGCTCAAATTTGCTCTATAGTACTTTCATCTTGGTAATTCAGGTAGTCCTTTCAAAATTGAAGTTCATCATCCTTCATCTGGTAAAGGAGGATCAGTGATTGCAAATGGAGAAGGTTTAAAGCAAGGTCTAGTTGGATCTATGAATATTTTTGATATTGAAACAAATGGCTTAGAGGGAGACATAGAAGTAAAAGTAACAGGTATTTATGTGTTTTTTGTGCTGTATATTGATTGATCGTGCTGTGTCATGTCATATTCTTTTTTGTATGTAATACAAGTTAGTAAAAACAACTGACATGATCTCTGTTAGCTTTGTTTTATACCTTTAAAACATTCTAATTACTAAAAAACAATGTCCAACATTAAGAATCAGTGTAAATTAAAAAAAAAAAAATTGCATATCTAGTTTCAATAGTTTTTGAACTACCTTCTTCAGCTGCTAAGTGCAAATAAACCAAATAAAGGAAATAAACCAAATAATGAAGAAAAAACTCCCCTTCTTCACCCTTTATTTGGTTTATTTGCATTTAGCAGCTAAAGAAGGTAGTTCAAAAATTATCGAAACTAGTACTGCAAAATGTTTTTAAAAATTTATGCTGATTCTTAATGTTGGACTTTGTTTTGATTGTTATTAAGCATGATATTTAAACTACAAAAGTCTAATTACTGTTGAAATATTTGATATCACTCATTGTTTTTCTCTCAACAAATGAAACTAAATGTTTCTTCTGAAAATTCTACATGGACCTTTCTGAACAAACTTAGCAGCTCATTGAACTGTATGCTTGAACATCTGAGGTTTGCATTTTAAATCATAACCCACACTTTCAGGGTTGTTATGTCAAAAGAAATTAGGTAAATCAAAATTAGGTCAGTTTACTTTTCATACTGTAAATTTAGTCTGTTCTCAGATTTCAGATACTCAATTTAATTTGAAAGCAAAGTTGTATATCATTATGAGAATATGCTGAAGTGGGATAGATATGTTGGCATTGAGATCCTGTTATGTGGGGAAATCATGATAAATCGATGCAGCAAGCTAGGTGTATTAGAAAAGTTCACATGTAGCTAACAAACAATATTACAAGTTATTATTTGTAATCCCAAGTTTTCAGTGCCATCTTCTGTGATGTTGTAAATGAACTTTGTTCAGGGATTGCAGTATAGCACTTCATTGTACAGATGTTCTGCAAATGATTTTAAAGGCTAAATATGTTAGTATATGTATTAACTGATTTGTGGACTTCCCTGAACGTAGCTTCATTGAACATGCATGGCACATTAGAGAAATGCATTCATTCTCAAAACTAAATTTTCTCTTTCAAAGTTCTCAAAACTTTGGAAAACAAACTAGACATATACTATGTTATGAAATAAAAATGGCTCACTTGATTACTAATTGATAAACTTATCATGACATTATAGAAACTGTGTTACTTCATCGTGTGTGTCTATGCATGAGAGATTATGTATTCCATACTGACAGGTCTGTCCACTTGTAATCACTGTTCATACATTTTCCAACTATGTTTTTTTGAAAACTTTTGCAAATATTACTAAGGAAATTTCCAGCTTTTGCAGATTTTTATTAAAATTTAATTTCGGCAGAATTTGTAACATTTTGTTATATAATTCATGCTAGTATGCTTGTAATACATGTATTTCCATATTTGGCAGCAGTCAAAAACGTATATTTATTAAACGTCAATATCTACACAATTTATGTTAATATGCTTGCATACATATGCGGCTGCATTAAAAAAATTGCTATATGCCATATAAGTAGACATCAGAGTCTCGTACCCATACCAAATAAATAGATCTGGTACTTTTAGTACAGTTTAGTTAGCTTACAATGGTTTTGTGAGCAATTAATCATTTTTATGTCTGAATTTTATCTTTCTTGTACTTTACACTGGTATGAGTAGTAAAGTAAGTAATTATATGTTTTATGTAGTACAGTAAGTAATTATGTGTTTTAATTCCATTTTAAAAATTTTTCTTTATATTTTGATAAATTTATTCATATTTTACATTGTTAGGTCCTAATGGGAATGCTGTTCCTGCATCAGTTATTAATATGAAGCATGGCAGTCACAGAGTAGAATATCAACCACATGAAATTGGAACTTACAAAGTTGAAGTCCTTCATCAAGGCAATACAATTTCTAGCAAGCCATTCCTTGTTGAAATATGTGATCCAAGCAGAGTAAAAGTAATTGATGTTGAAGATGGAATTATTGGAAGGGAACAAATTTTTAAAGGTAAAATATTCGTATAGGATATCTAGTTTTTATCTCTTAATAACTAGATTTATTGGATAGTTTCATGTTTAAACAATAATTTTTGTTCCTTAATGCGATTTAGCACTGAATCATAGTGGGTGAAATACCTTCACTAACATTTCTTTCAGCTGAAGGAAAGTCCCTTTTGCAAATTTTTCTTCTGTTGCATCAGATGTTCATGAAAACTTCTATTTCCAGTACTCATTTTTTCTCTCACTTTTAAAAAGAAGGTGATCATTGTAATTGAATTGTAAAAAGAAGGTGATCATTGTAAATGGTGATCATTGAAATTTTATACCAGGAAAGTAAGTAGGAGTTTTAATATATATAAGTGCAGCCACACCAGTTATTTTAACATTTGGACCATAATGTAATTCTTCTGACAGTCAAGGTCGTATTTTTGTTCAAAGAAATTTAATTTCAGATTCTTTGTTTAATTTAATTTTCTTTTGGTCTAATTCCTAAACCAGCATGAATCTGAGTCATTGTAAAACAGGAGTTGACTATTTGCATTTATTATTTATGAAAATATGGAATTTATTATTATTATTATTATTATTATTATTATTATTATTATTATTATTTTTAAGTCTGTGATCAATTTTATAAATGTTTTGCGTTAAGAAAGAAGTTATTTTAAAGTAGTCTGTTTTATTATTTCTCACAATTTTATTTTATTGCTTTTAGCCTTTTCATATAGCTAATTGTTTTACTTATAAGAAATGTGAACCTTTCTTGTTTGTGTACTGTATAATGTTTTAGCATTCATAATATTTGATTATTTTATGTATTTTGGCTTTTATATCATTGCAGATTCCTCCCATATGCGGATTCTTGAATGTTACTTTTTGTTTTTGTTTCTTGTGATGAAAAAGAAAAAAAAAATTTGTTCAAACAGTGTAATCATCCATGTATAATAAAAAAGTGTATATTTTTATTGAACTTTAATTAAGAAAACTCTCTCTTTTGTTTAATATATAATTATGTAAAAACAAAGAAAATTCAAAAATTCACCCTAAACAGCAGTATATTCACAGCATTGGCTTGATGTATACATTTCTTTACTTCTAGTTGATGTGTCTCGAGCTGGAAGAGGTACTTTAAACATATCCATTACTTCATCAGGCCGAGATGTTAAGTATAATTTGAGAGAAATCAACCCGGGAATGTACGAAGTTGCGTATGTGCCACTTTCAGATCACCCTCATAAAATAGATGTATATTATAATGGTCATCAGGCACCAGGTACAAAAAAGTTTGAACTACTTTTTTCTTATATTTGTTGAGATGAAATTTTTTTCTGCTACTAAATTCTGTGCATATTTTTTTCATTTTTCAATGTAAATCAACTATTAAAATGTGCTTTTGTATGATTTAGAGCATATGGTGGGTGCCTCTATGACTATTTTAATTTTGTAGGGTGCCCCCAAATTGTAGAAATCCGTGATCCAAGTCATTCCATCATAGCTCATGGATCTGGATTGAAATCCTCACCTTGTGGAAAAACTGCTTCATTTTTTATTGAAACTGGAGGATTTGGAGAAGCAAAAGACTTTGATATCATAGTTATTTGTATGTTGCTTTTTAATGACAAATTTCATTTGATTAGGCATTTGTTTGCACTTCTGTTTTTTTTTATATTTATAAATCATATGCAATATTTTGACAATTATTTCTCATGAGATTGTGTCTTCTAAAACATGTATGTAAATTTCTTTTGAGCCTTTGCAGATCCTGTAACTAAGTCAAAATGTATGAAAATATTTTCTAAAGTGTTATAAATTTATAAAACTCTTTATTGCTAAATGTTATTCATATAAGCTGTTGCTATTCGTATGCAAATAACTTGATGAGAAGTCATTATACTGAGAAAGATTTGATTTTTCAATTAAAAAAATGCTTACACAGCAATTTCGTTTTACTCATTTCAAAATGGTTGAAACTTCAACCAAGGTAAGATATTTGAGTTTGAAACGGAACAACACTTAAAATGAAAGAAAATTTTTGATTCTCATTAAATTGTATGATAATGTATACTGCGAAAAATGCAAAGTGACATAGAACTATGTTTTCTCTCATCTGGGAAGTTGGGCATAGAGTAAACATATTTTTAAAACTTCTTTTGAGAACCTGATGGCATTAAAAAGAAAAACTACTGAACAAATTTCCTAAATATTAAAATATAAATACTTTATACTATACTAGAAAATAAAAGATGCCCCTTCTAAACAGAAAGCTAATATATTATTACTCTTATACTTGATTTTTGAGCAGAAAGTGTTTCCTCTGACTCATATCTGATATAATTTTATTGACCCATAGCTGTCCTATCTACTTGTTAGTGGGGAAGAGGATAGTAGAAATGCAACTTCTCTTGCCCGTCATTTTAGAAATGTAATTGTTCTTCAACTATAAGGAGTGTAATTTAAAACTCACCATATTGCATTTTATAATAAATAACATTAAATGAAACTTTTCTTCAATACTGTGTAATTCTTAGGTCATCAGTTTTATTTTTGAAAAGCCGTAGGGGTAATATCTATAATGAATAATATGCTGTTAGGAATTTCTTTTGCTAAGGAAATAATTTTTTCCAGAATTTGTTTTGTTTTTAAACCGAATTTACATTTTTTCTGAATAATTTAGTTGCATTCATTCATTGTTTCTTTCTTTTATTTCCTTCACAATGATGTTTAAGATAAATTTTTAGTGTTTTTATTTTCCCAGTGTATAAAGTAGGAAATGCAAATAAATTGTTCGCTTACTCCTACATAAAATGATTACTATTTCATTATGTTACTATTCATTTATGTTATCTCTCTATGAAAACGAAAAAAAAAAAACTGCTTCAGCAAGAAGAAACAGTCAGAAAAACACCCAAAGGTAGCAAATGGCAAATGTTTTTAATCTTGAGTAAAGCAGTGGGAACAATGGAAGAACTTCTTCAGCTATATGTATATGTCCATATATGTCGTTTAATTATTGCGAGGTTAAACCCACTTAAAGTTCTGTATTTTCTGATGAAAATAACAACTGAAAGCATAAAATAAAAGATCAAGATCACAACTGTAATACAGTTGAAAGCTTGGTCTCAGGTAATGTCACATTTACAGAAGGGAATCCCAGGAATGTTGACAGTAAATTTCAAAACTCAAACCAAAATAAATGTGAACCACAGTGATCTAGCATACTGGCCAGATGAAATATTGATACATGAAAGTTATCACATAATTATGAATGGGCCGTATGCTATTAATAAACAGCATAGTTTTCCAAAAGATGAAAATAGGCCTAGTTTCTCAGTGATAGTCATGTATAGAAAAAGGGGAAAGTTTTCTTACAAAGTGCCTTATTCGTTCAAGGAGCGCTAAAAATTGTATTGCTTTTGCTGCAGAATTTTTGGTTTCCTCAGTAGTTAGTTTTTCAAAAATCCGGAATTCATGACTGGAAACTTGCTCCAGAATGCTTACAGTCACGTAAAAATTCAGTACATCACCTAGAATGTCTATAGAAATGGTTTGAAGTGTCACTGCGATTACAGACTAATAAAATTATTGGAAAAGAGCTTCAGTCACAAGTGGAAAAAAGAATAAAATCATTGGGGTAAAGTTTTAGAAAGTTTAATGAATATCTCTCAGTTTTCAGATAAATGCAATTTGGCTTTCAAAGGAGGTTTTAGATATGTTATCTACATCACACAATGGGAATTTTTTTAGGTCTTCTTGTTCTACTTGGATAATTTGATTTAAGAGTGAGTGAATATTTACATCAGGCTGTGTCTAAAGAAATGTGCATTCTCTATTGTGGGGAAAATGTTCAGCATGCAATAATCAGTTCTGTTCAGGAAAATATGCTTAACTGAGCTACAAGATTAACAAAATATTAATAATATAGATCAATAAGATATTTTAATCTTTTATTAGACTGTAAGTCAGACATAAGTTATGTGGAGCAGCTTTGGTTTACAATACACATTTTAGATGTAGAAAATATTGCAATAAAGGAACATTTTGTTAGCTATGAACTTGTAAAAAATGTAGGCCAATGATTATATGAAAATTTATTTGATTTTCTGAGAGATATTAACCTAGATTTACAGAATTGCAGAGGCCAGGGCTAAGATAATGGCTCAGATATGGAAAGGAAAAATAAATGTGTTCAGGCATAGATCCTAAAAGAAAATCCATGGCCATTTTATATGCCTAAACTGAGTCGTTGGTTGACAGTGCAACAAATTACCTGGAATCCTCCTAACGTTTGGATGTTATATAGCACACCTCTTTTTACCTTTCTGTTTCACTTGGACAGTGGCATGCTATAGGAAAACATGTTAGCTGCCTCATTCCAAAACCTTTCTTTGATGGGAGTGCAGAATGGAAGGGGTCAAAACCATTAAAAATGAAATAATGGAATTCAAACTGCCCTTTATGACCATGCAGAAGTGCCTGCACCTGATCTTGTAGTGTGACATGAAGCAGAGAGTCTTGTAACAGAAATAGAAGCTTATGATATTCTAGTGATGATAAATGTCTGGTATGATGTCTTAGACAGGGTAAATGTTGTCAGCAAATCTATGCAGAACACCTCTGTCTAACTATCTATTTCAATTTCTTGAATGAAAAGTGTCACTATTACTTAATTGATGATCAAATGGTTTGGAAAAAAGACTAGAATCAGCATAAGAGTTTGTAGAGTATTAGCTGTAGAGCCGATGTTTTTAAAAGTAAAAGGATAAGAAAAAGAAGGCTGTCTGAATAGGAATGCACTGACAGGTTTCCAAATGCTAGTGACCCTTAAAAAATCGCATGTTCAGTGTAATACTAAACAAAGCTATTAATTTTCATCTGAGAAGTTTGAGCCAGTTACAAAGCTTCAATAACAAATAGGGATTTTTAAATGATTTTCAGATGTGCCTGATAAAAAGTAACATGTCGAAGTTTGGACAATATGTTAAACTACTGACAAAATAGCAGTTTCTGATCTGTTGACTGAATTAGATGTAGCCAAAGACTTATTCTCTGAAATTGTGAAGCTTTCAATAGAAGCCACTAGATTCATAAACACAAATAAGTTATAGATGTCATGCCAAATCTGTGGACTACAGTAAGAATACTGCTTACAATGCTTACTATTGTGCGCTGGCAAGAGAAGCTTTAGCGAACTAAAGTTTATAAAAGCAGTCAGTCATTCGGGTCTCAAGACAGATTGAATTCATTGAAAATTTTGTCTATAGAAAATACGACAATTTGTCTATATTGCTAAGGAAACAAATGTAGAAAGTGCATGAAAATATTTTCTGATCTAAAGGTTAGAAGAAAAGTGTTTAGGCTAGGCTAGTTTTATGCACTATGGATATACTGGTCGAGAGAAACAATTACTGTTTCTTATGTATTAAAAAACAACCAGTATTATAAACTCATTCTTATATTTTTAATTTTTTTCTTGTGAAAATTTGTATAATTAAAATGTGCGCCAGCAATGATAAGGCCAGCCCTAATGCCAGGAAGAGTTTGGCATAAGCAAGATCTCATTAATTACTCCCTAAAAGTAGTAATAAAATTAGAAATAACTCTTTATTGATATAAAGTTATATTATGCAGAAGGAAGAAATCATATATGAAATAAATGTAAGAGAAAAATACATTAAAATTACTATATTTTTAATATTTTTAAAAAAATGTAATTTTTAATGCAGTAAGTGCATTGTTTTAAAACTTTGCATCAAAGTAATAACACTATTAAAGGTAAGGCTTTGAATGGCCATCTTTTTGTGCAAATGCTTGACCACAGTGATGAAAATTGCAACAATTTGCGTCTTGACACAAATGCATGCTGGTTATCCAAGGGTAACAGTTTGCAGCATTCTGCTAAGGAGACTGCAAAGAAGAGACATTAATCTGACTGCAGCTAGAATGATTGTCTTTGATTTTTGTCCTAAGATTGATGTGTTTATATCAACAATGAATATTAAAGAAGTCTATTACTTTGATAATTTAATGCAGCAGCCCATTATTGAAAAAAGATTGTATTTCCTCAGGCGATGTAGTATATAAGCCATTTTCAAAATTTAAAAGAAAATTTTGAAATTCACTTCCAAGACATTAAAAATTTTGAATGCACTTAGAACCTCTGATCTGTGGTACATTTGATCTTGATATTGTGATCAAGGAAGAGTTGATTACATTGAAGAAGAATTAACTGAAGATTGGATGGAAGGACTGGAAAGGAAAGAAGTTTAGAAAGAGGGATTGTATTGAAAGAGAATTTAAAATTCATTTGAAATATCCCAAAATAAAAATTGTTGATCCAAAATCCTTGACGTTTTCCTTTTTTTAGCTAATAACAATTGCATGCAAATAATAAATAAATAAAATAATAAAGATCAAGATTAAAACTGTAATTCAGAGGAACTCTTTGTCTTAGGTAACAATGTCATATTCAGACTTTGGTCTAGTAAAACATTCACCGGGGATAACAAGAAACGAGCTAAGTATTTTTGAATGAGGTGATTTAAGAATTAAGCAATTTTATGGCAATGTTAAAAAAAATTGCTTCAGTATATCAGGTGTGGCCATCACATTAACCAGGATTGAATTTTTGTGCATGTGATTTTGTTTCTGAACTTGTTTTTTATATTTAAAATTTAAAATAATAATACTACAAAAAGTAATAAAACATAAATCTAATAAACCATTTTTTAAACTTTTGTTCATTTTCTTAGTCATGATCTTTTGAAAGACAAACCATACTCGACTGTATTATTCATTTATATTTACTGTTATTGCCAACTAAAGTGTCTGGTTTTTCATGCATGTTTACCTCACTTAATATTAATTGCAACTGTATATTAATTTCAGTTTGGTGTGATTGTGTTCTTAAAAAGTGGGTACATGTGTGTACAAGCTTGCAAATAATTAAATAAATATATCGCAAAATGAAATTTAATGTAAAATGAGAATAATGACATTTGAATAGAATTTTCATGTTTAGTGATTAAAGTCATTAAGCTGATTTCTGCTTAACATCAAGAGAAAAAGACATGACCTGCAAACATGAAAAGGCCTTAGTGCCTAGTTATTACTATCTGTTTGGTGGCACTTGATATGTTTTTGTTTCATTACCGTCTTTGAGCGAGTTGCTGAGTTTTTGGGTATTTATAATCAGCAGCTATTAAAAGAGTTAAATATCTGAATAAAGGTAATGGTAAGTGAACTTACGACTAATAGGGATATTTTAATGAGAAAATGTCGTAATTTTCACATATATGTGTTGTGAAGAAAGACCACAATGAAATATTTCTTTACATATTGATTTTCTTCACTGAGTAACATTTACTGATCCTGCTGCCAGCTATATTTGCCCTGACTGAAAGTTTATGTAATTCAAAATATAGGACTGTATTAATATACAACCATGTATAGGACTGCATGTCATATAATAATTTCAACCATACTGCATTGTGTTCTGTACAGTATTGTGAAAAATTAAATTGTTCGTATGAAATAATAACCATCTTTAATATACTATTAAATGCTGAGATAAATTATAATCTAATAAACTATACTAACTATTATAGCTATTAATTGTGCTGTTAATAAAAGGGAATGACATTGGAGTGGATGGTTGATTTGTCTTAACTTTGCTTCACTAATTAATTTTGTTAATTATTGCAGTGCGTACAACAGCTCTGTTATAAATACAGTAAGATACATTTTATTTGAAACTCTCGACTGTAAACATTTTTGTAGTTTATGTTACATATTGGAAAAAAGGAAAATCACATGCATCCAGCTCATTCTGTTGCTTTTAAGCGAACTTGAAGTGGACTTCCAGTTTTCTGTAGCTTTAGCAACTTCATGACTCCTGAGATCATGGGGAAATTATACACAAGCCTTTGTTTCTCATGCCATATTAGTTTGCATACTAATTTGTTATTTGGGGGGGGAGGAGGGGGTTGCACCAGAAAACTAGTAATTTTGAAAATTATTGTACCAATATAAAAGATTTTGTGAGATATAACAAAACTGTTCTGAATTATTATTATTGTTTTTATTATTTACTTTAGCAATTTAAGTTTAAATTGACATCTTTGATGCCTAAGTAATTTGACATGTGTAGCTATATCTCTGAATATATGAGAAACCTATATGTTTATGCTGTGTTGATTACTTTTAGCTCCTCTTGGTTCTCCTCTGCCTGTTAAATGCTACCAGCAGAAAGATGGAAGCTTGCTTGCAGAATGGTCAGCACAGCAAGCAGGTTTGTTGTTACACTGTTTTCCAAACTTTCTTTCTAATTTCTAAATATTTTACTTTAAGTTGTTTTAATTTTATAATCTACACCTTTTTCTTTTCTTTCTGCCTCTTTTTTTTTTTTTTTTTTTTTTTTTTTTTTTTTTGTAGGAAATCATAAGATTGAGGTACTTTATGCTGGAAAACCAATATCAGGATCACCGTTTTCATGCCAGGTATTTGATGCAACTAAAGTTGCTTTGCAGAAAATTAAAACTACTACATTTGCTGTGGGAGAAAATATATCCTTTACTTGTGAGTTCTTTTATATTTGTTAAATAAATAGACTAGTTTATTTTTATTTTGTAAAGCAAAGTAGAACTAAAACAAAACAAAAAAATTTTGTTTTCCTTTTTTAAGCAGTGATATCTTGCTTTTCACATTGCGCTACCTTTCTTTTATATAAATAAATTTTATAAATTATGTAATATATGTATGTACTTTTAAAATGAGTATCTTGCATAATGAACTTTGGATTAAAGCTAAATTTATTACATGCATCTTCTTTCTAACAAGGCCTGCAAATCCTCATGAAAGGATTAGCAGAAATAATGAAGAGGTTGAAAAAGAATACCTTAGCAATCAATATTTTGATTTATCGAGAGCAGTTTTTAAATGTATATACATGGGGATATCGTCAATTCCTGATTATCAGATATCAGATTGGTTGGGTCCTGTCCATAAAAAATATATTTTTTGTTTAATGATAAAAAATTACCATTATTATTGGTTTAAGCTATGTACAGGAAAGCTGTATACTGAAAGTCTGTGCAGGAAATAGAAGGAAAAGAAAAGTGTAGATTAATAGTACTGATAGCAGATGATGTCATGGTAGTATTTGGGAATTTTTACCCATGGCATACTATAATGTAATTGTATAAAATGCGAAATATATAATTATCATTAAATCATCCATCAAAAGTAAATCAATTTTACAGCCATAAATCATCTGTTTTGCATTGACTTCTATTGTAATACAAGAGACAAAGAAACAGCATATGCACTATGAGGTTAAGAAGAAATACAGAGAAATAGAGCATCAGATATTCATTTAATTTAGATAAACAAATGAAGTTATTCTCGAGATTAAACTGCTTGGTAACTACAGGTAAATTGATAAGTAGTATTTTTGTTAATTTTAATAAAAATTATTCCTCTCTCTTTCGTTTTTTAACTGCTTTCTGATTATCCATAATTTTGAGTTAAATTGTGTATATATTACTCCAGCTAATCAGAAGTTCATCTCCTGTATTACTCTGATTAATCAGGAGTTGACTCTCTAAATATTAGATAAGGTATGACAGTTCTGTGTTTATATAGACACTGATTAAATAGGATGCTATGAAGAAATAATATGTGATCTATTACAAACTATATTATATAAATGTTTCTTTGAGAAGATGAGAGTATGGTCAAGAAATTAGTTTAACTGTTGGAGAAGCTGCTGAGAAATCATACCATGTTTTGGATCTTTTCAGTTAGGGCACTGCATGTGCCAAACAGTTTTCTGTAGTAAGATATATGTGTAAACTTGATACTATAGTACCAGTCATACATTATATGATTCTTAATTATGTGAAACCATATGAAAACACTGGAATAAAAGCAAAAACAACAAAAAAATAACCCATTTGAAGACTTGTCAATATTGTTGCCACCTCTAAATTAAATGTTGTTTCTTTGATTACTGAAACAACTTGGCATATTTATTATGTTTTGAGAATTTACTGCTATATAGTCCTGTAATGAAAAAGAGCCAATATTTTTTTAAATATTGCACATTTCAAGCATATTCTGCATATATTTATCAAATGATCACTTTTCCCAAAAAAGTAAATCTTATCCATTTAATTTTATACTTGAAAGGTACATTTGTATCATGGGGGGAAGGAGAAAAAAAGAGAGTGAAAGTTATCATGTATTTAAAGAAAAATTTGGACAGAAGATGGATTTATGCATTGGGCATTGTGTCTGAATTCAGAGACTGTGTTAGAATTCAGAGCTTATTCTTTTGTCTTTCCCTCTTCTGTTTCCCTGAAATATTGATTGCTAAGGTATTTTTTTAGGCCTTTCCATTATTTCCTCTAATCCTTTCAGGATGATTTGCAGGCCTTGTTAGATAGAAGGTGTCTGCAATAGCTTTGTAAATCTGTAAAATTTTATTTCATAATTTTATCAATGAATATTAAACTTAAGTTTTTTGACTAAAATTTTTTCATCAGTCCCTCTGAAATTACCAAATGATAGATAGTGGCAGGGGTTACTGAAACATCTTAAACTTAACTTCTGTTAAAATATAACTCATTTAAATCTAGAAGTTTTTATAGCATTTTCTGATTTTATATAACAAATGCCTACTGTTATGTGTGATGATTAAACGGGGAGAAGCAGCAAAGTTTTCTTCATATAAAGCTGCTGTCATCCAGCAGCTTATTTCAAATACATAATGTAATTGTAGTTAATCACATCTCATAATTGTGATAATTGGTACTTGCAGTGTAACTGGTACTTCAGAATGTCTCATATGTAACTATATATATGTCTCATATATGTAACTCCCCATTCTTTTCGTAAGTGAATCCCTTTCAAGGACGAATTCTTTGAATAGTGTGATAGATGTGATGACAAGAAGGGGGAGATGTAAGCAACACCTTTGAATGAGAACTGTGCTATTCTATTCACAGTTTAAAGTTTAGTATAGGGGTTTCAAGAGTCCTGTACATGCTTTATGATGGCTTTACAAGTCTCTCATGTGTTTAATTTTTTGGAAAATAGGTTTGAAAAAACTGAAATTCTAAATTTTTTTGTTATTACTTGAGCTTTCTGATTAGTTTAAGCTAAATAGTCGGAATTTTACTGCATATCCATAGCTTTTGAAAATAAACTCATTATTAAAGAACTAACACGGAGTATTTTTAAACGAACAGTTGAAAAATATAAAACAAAAATATCCAGACTAATAAACTTGTTTACAGTTTTGTGCTTTTCATATGAATTTATTTGCAATAAAGAAGCAGCATTTTTAAACAACATATTTCAGCATTGAGGAAACTGAATAAATAAGAACCTATCACATTTCAAATTTCTGCTGAAATTTAAAAATTATTTTTCAAAAGCATAGTTTATTCTACCATTCATATCTATTTCTATCCTTTGCTAATCCTGATATGAGTAAAGAATGTGAACATTTTGTCAGAAAGATTCTGATGACACTTTTTGTCATTTCTCCATTTACGGCATTAATAATATTTTTATAAATGGAATTTTGTAGTTTTTGTTAATGTTTTTGTGAAACTTTTTTTATACATAATGTGACTGGCATAAGGAAGAAGGAAATTTAAAAAGTTAATATGTGTGGATTTCCTTTTGTTATGCTATAAGAATTTAAATTGAGAGACTTTTATTTTTGTTGATAGATAGTTTAATTTTTCTCACAAAAGAAAGAAATGATAAAATAACTTTACTCTTCTGGAATTTGACTGCTGGCCTTTTCATCTGAAAGATATATATAGCACTACTGAACCACAGCATGCTTTGCAAGATGGATTTAATGTAATAGTTTAAAACTTGATTTGCTTGCTTATTTTTGAGAACCGCTAGCGTACTGTGATACTTTCACAGGCACTCCACAACTATATTATGTTAACTTTATAAATTATTATATAAACTTTATAAAATCACTGAAAATGCATTCTAGTTAGCTCTGCATGACATAAAGTTCTTTCAGGCCCTGATGCTAAAATTTCTTAAATTGTAAACCACGAGAAGCAGAAAGGAGCATCTTTAGATGGATAGCAATGTTACTTTTTTGTATATGTGCTGCTTTTAAGGCCTGGTGTAATTGTGCTCAGGTGAGGATAATTGTTTTTGGATGCAAGTATCTCCTTTACTGCACTGCATGAGTATCCAAGATATTTTCTGAACATTTTCTAAGTATTGTGTTTCTCACAAGCACAAAAAAGTCTGTATGCCAACATAAAGAAATATGCTGCCAAACATGTATGGGACCTTTGATGTAACAATTCACTCTTTGCTTAATTTTAGGTGCTTGCAACCGTTTATTTCATATGAAATTTTAAATTATTTTATTTTAAAAGTGAACCGTAGGGATGCTGGTTATGCTGAATTAGATGTCACAGTTACAAGTCCATTGGGAAGGCATTTGCCAATTGAAGTGAAAGGCACTTCAGATGGTGAAGGGGAACTCATTGAATTCACTCCAACAGTTCCTGGAAAATATAAAATTGCAATAACATATGGAGGAATCGAAGTACCAGGTATGTAAAATACCATTTATTTATACTTATTTTTGTTTTAACTTCCATTTTAGAAAGCTTTTTTTTTTTTTTTTTTTACACTGCTTGTATGTTTACAAGATATTATGCAAAATGCCCTGAAAAACTGTTTATCTTAAGCCATACTTCATCCTTCATTTATGAAATACTTCCCATTGAAATGCAGTCATCAATAACTTCGCTGGAACAAATGCAAAAATCATCTCATGCAGCTCATTCCTTATTATCTGCCAATCTTCTTTGACCTTCTTGTTTGTGGTGCCCAAATTTTCCCTTTTCCATTTAATTTGTGTTTACTAGAAGAACAAGAAGTTTCAGGGAGTTAAATGGATTGGCTATGGAGGATGAGGAAGAAATGCTATATTAATGAATCATAAATGCTGCATGGCCACTGCAATATGAGGAGCATTATTATGATACAGAATCCAATTATTTGTATACCAATTCCATGTATTTCTTGCGGTATGTTCCCAAACTGCTGCATCACTTCACACAGCTTTGTATTTACAGTCTAAACAGGAGGAAAAATAATTTATCTAGAATTTTTTAAGTATGTAAAATAAAATGATCACATTAATTCTCAGGCTTTCTTTAATTGTGTTGAAATGGGAGGCTTTTGAGATGATTGATTCACGATGGGCATGTATTCATAAATATAAGTTTTTGTTAAAATAAACTATAAAGAAATTTTGATTAATTCAGTCTGTCTGCACATTTCCTTATAATGCTACTGTCCTACCTGTCTCCACGGTAATTTTATGCTAATTTACAATGGTTTCTGCAATTGTGCTGCATACCGAATTATCCTGCTTATTCAAAATATAGGAAATGAGCACATACTGAATTATTCTGTTTATTCAAAATATAGGAAATATTAAAATAATTATCATCTACTTTTTGTTGCAAATTATTTTACTCAGTAGTTGAAGAATTTTGAGAATTTCTGCAACATTTTCAAGCTCATAGTGAGATTAAATGAAAGTGAAATGACAAGAGAGGGTGGTGCCAAAAAGACAGTCCATGCATTGGGAAAAAAACTCTCTAAGCCAAGAATAAAAAATAAAAAAAAATAAATAAAGTTTAAAAAAAAACATGTCAGAGTAAATCAAAATTTTAAGCAATGCTGATTGCATTTTTTGATATCAAAGATATCATTTTGGAAGAATGGGTACCAGAAAGCAAGACAATGAACCAGCATTTTTATAAAAAAGTTTTGATTAAGCTGAAAGAAAGAGAAACAAATGCTGAAAACTGTGGCAAAAATGGTTTCATTCTGCATCAAGACAATGTACACAGTGCTATCTGTGAAGGAGTTTTTGGGTTCAAAAATCGATTGCAATACTGAACATCCACCATATTCCCCCAGTTAGCACATTATGACTTTTTCCTTTTCCCAAAGATAGCATGAAAAGGTATCCACTTTGAGTCACTGGAGGCTGTTAAGAAGAGAACGTCCTAGCTATTAAAAAAGTTATTATCAGAAAATGAACTGCAAGATGGTTCCAAGCAACGGAAAATATGAAAAGGCCAGTTAGTGAGTAGGGAGTATATCAAAGAAGGGAAACGATAGATTTACCATAAACTGTAAATAGATATTCTTTTTTGAGTCTTTCCTTTTAATTTATGGACAGACCTTGTATAGTGTTTTTAAAAAAGCAATCCAGAAACAAATTAATTTTAGAATGCAGGCATGTGCCATATCCGTATAGAAATATTGTAGACACATTTGTCTTGGAACAAATCTAAGCAGTTTGAAATTTTCATAAAATTTAATTAACTGCATATGCAAATACTGTCAAATACCGAAAATCTGCCGACTTGAAATCTGCCAACTCCTGAAATCCACATTGCCTCTCAAAATATAAACATTCAATTTATAGGTTCTGGAAACTACAACATGGAGAATGAAATACTGAAGAAAAAATACTTACCGAATAATGACATCATAATTACCGAATAGTACTGAATCGTAACAGAAATACTAAATTATTGATATCATGGGTAAAAGCTTTTTGCCCTCCAATCTGTATTGAGGTAAAAAATAAATTGGAGTTTCTGAAAATAATTCTTTCAGGTAACCATTCTATTTCACTTTGTGATTATACGAGGGCTATCCAGAAAGTAGATTACGTTTTGGAATAAAAAAATAAACAAAGTATAGGAAACAAATTTTATTATATACAGATGAAAGCCACACTCAAATACTACTTTTCTACATAGTCACCATACAAATTAAGGCATTTATCGTAGCGATGTATGAGCTTGGAAATTCCTTCGTCGAAAAATTCGGCCGCCTGCGCCTTCAACCACTTCGTTACCTCTTCTTGCAGCTGTGCGTCGTCATCAAAACGCTGCATAGCCAGCCACTTCTTCATTGCTGGGAATAGGTGGAAGTCGCTCGGTGCCAGGTCGGGACTGTACGGCGGATGAGGAAACAACTCCCACTTAAAAGATTCAAGAACTTTTCAAGTGACATTTGCCGTGTGGGGCGGGGCGTTGTCGTGAATCAACAAGATCTTAGAGCTCAACATTCCTCTGCGCTTGTTTTGAATTGCTCTTCTGAGTTTTTGGAGAGTTTGGCAATACCTTTGAGAGTTTATTGTAGTGCCTCTTTCCAGGAAGTCCACCAAAATTACACCTTTTCCGTCCCAAAAAACAGTCGCCATCATCTTCCTTGCCGACATTGTTTGCATGCATTTCTTGGGTTTTTGGGGAGAACTTGTGTGCCCCCACTGCATTGATTGCAATTTTGTTTCACGTTCACATGTTTCACCCATGTTTTCGTCACCAGTAACGATGCGATCGAGTAAAGAGTGACCATCCTTATGGTAAGCGTCCAAAAAGTTCAACGCTGCAGCCATTCGCATGATTTTTGTGGTCCTCTGTCAAGATTTTTGGAATCCATCTTGCACAAAACTTGTGGTAACCAAGCTTTTTGCTGATGATTTCGTGTGCAACAAAACTTCGCGAAATTTGTGGAAAACTCAAAGAAAGTTCCGTTATTGTGAAATTTCGATTTTCACGGACTTTAGCATCGACTTTTTTTCGAGAAGTTCGGCGGTCACTATGCTGGGGTCTCCCACTTCGATCTTCGTCGTGAACATTGGTTCGGCCATTTTGAAATCTTATGACCCACTGACGCACTCCACCTTCAGTGATAATGTTGTCCCCATACACTTCACGAAGCTGCCGATAGATTTCTATCGGTTTACAGTTTTTTGCAGTCAGAAACCTTATTACTGAGCGCAGCTCGCGGGATTTTCAATTAACGCAGACATTTCAAACCGTCACAGTATCTGAACGGAGCACAGCACGAACCTCTCACTAGCACGGCTAGATGCAGACTGAGCTGCGCAACGCTCTGACCCCAAGATGGCCGCGCTAGCCCCGCCCCTAGCGGACACAGACGGAAACGTAATCTACTTCCTGGATGGCCCTCGTTATATATAAAAAAAAAAAAAAATCACCATCATAGACTGCATTTATTTGTTAGTAAAATCAGGGAATTCTTTTTCCCAAACCACATTAGTAAGTGCCTGGAATAATGTATGGCCGTCTTCTACTCTATTTATTGAAACTGAAAGTGATGACAGTGAATTTTCTGGTTTTAGGGTCAGTGCAGCAAGGCTTAAAGCAAGAGAATTGCTTTTATATTTGAAAGAAAGAATAAATTTGGGGGCTTTGCAAGAAGATGTCATTGAATGTGTGACGTGTTAGGAATGAGCCAACACTGGCATATCAGGTGACCGATGATGAAATCATTATCTCTGTTTTGAACTTGTCACGGCAAGAAAATGATTTAGACACCGACACAGATAGTGGATTTGATAGGAGTGAGGAAATATCTTTTAATGAGAGTTTGAAACATGGTGAAAAATACCTAAAATTAAAAGAGCTGTGTCACAGAGCAGAGATTGTGACTCTATAATTATTATTTAAAAAAAAAAAAAAAAAGCCTTACTGTGGAGCAACCTAAAGTTTTAAAAACAAATCTCTACCAAAAAAAAAAGTTTGAAACAAACAAACAAAAAAAAAAAAAAAAAAAAAAAAAAAAAAAGAGAGAGAGAGAAAAGTAATATTTTATGTTTTATTAATATCCCTTATTTTTATATCTTAATTATATATATCCTTAATGCTTTTAAATATCCCTGTAATCATTAATATAAATGAATAATATAATAAATATATATATCTATATATAATAATGATTTCACACATATAATAAATGCATCTAATATGCCTTATTTATTTCGTACCTCTAGTCTGAATATTATGATTTATCTTTTCTGTCCTGAAATCCACAAAATCTGCATAACCTCTAGTCCCAAGTATTGCGGATTTCTGGACTTCTATTGTACCTTCTTTCTATAAAAGTGTTATTTTTCTAACCATTAAAATTGTCACTGCATGAAGGATGTATACAACAAACCTGAAATTTTCATGAAAGGTAGAACATGTCGAGATATGCAGATGATTAGGATTAAAAGGCATATCCACATTACCGACAAAAGTAATGATTCTTTAATGGATATTAGAAGGCATTTTCCGTTTAGAAGTTGTGCTTATTTATTGTTTTTTATGTGGAGGGAGAGCCGTGTTCATAAATTTTTCACCTGAGGCAAAGAGTTAGAGTGTCCACGTAGTATACAGTCAAATAAACTTATCTGTATATATCTATATTCAGCAGAGGTAATTGTACAATGTCATATTATAATTCTTAAAATATTTTTACCCAGAACTCTATGCATTCAGAATATTAATACATGTAATGTCCATGTGCCTTTAATAAACACAGGTACCATTTTCATAAATAGCAAATAGCATATAAATAATGTAAATAGTAACGCAAGTAATATAAAAAGCATTCCATTTATAATCGAGGTCTTTTTATAACTTAATTTTTCTTGCTTTTTAATGAAATTAAATCAAATTTTTTTTCAAAACCTAATTCATTATTTAATTTTTGTTCTATACAGTGATTT